GCAATACTCTTGATGGACAGGCATCCATCTGCTGTTTAAAACACTTTCTGGATAATGTGTATTGCTGTTGTTGTTTTTTGCTACCTTCTAATTGTTAGAAATTGGGCTAAATAAACTCTGTCTCCTATAGCTGCTACCCTTGAGTCTTGTATTTCTTCTGAGAGCCACACAGAACACATTTAATTATTTTTCTTTAGAATAGTTTTTTAAACTTTAGAAGAGAATACTCAGGTCCCTTGCCCAACTCTTCATCTTCAGGTTAAAACTTCTCAGTTCTCTAATTATTGTATGTATGGCACCGTTCAAGTCCCTCTCTTCTGGACCAGCTGCATTTGTCATGTGCCCCCTTCAACTGTACACTACAAAAGTTCCTCATGTGTGTTCTTACAGTGGGACTATCACTTTGTTTGCTGTAAACACAATTATGTTTTTTTTAGTCCAATCCACTGAGATCTTTATGGGCACTGGGCTGTAAGAAAATATATACGCTTGGGCCGGCCGAGTGGCGTGATGGTTAAGAACTCGCTTGGGATGCCAGAGGGCCCCGGTTCGGATCCCACATATGAGGGCCAGTGACACTGCCCTCCACAGCTAAGATGCTGAACAACAGCTCAACCTGGAGCTGGGCTGCTGGGAGTCGCCGGCGACGGCGTAGGCTGCAGCCCCTGTGGCAGTGGGTTGCCATGGGCTACCGAGTGTAGCCAGCAGCCAGCGTGAGCGGCCAGCAGCCAGCGTGAGCGGCCAGCAGCCGCAGTGAGCAGTCGTCCAGAAGCCGGCGACTGATCTGCCTCACCCGGGAAGAGCGCAATGATGGTGCCAGCTTGGGCCAGTGAAGCAACGTCCTCCACAACTAGATTGAAGAACAAGACGACAGCAACTTGTCTGTTCCCCTTCCCCCAATTCCCCAGCACTGTTCCTATCCCCCTAATTCCCCAATAAAAATCTTAAAAAAAAAAAAAAGAAAATATATACGCTTTTCCTCTCAGCTTCAAAATTATCGGCAGGTCAAAAGCAAAATAATAAAAATAAAAATAAAAGAAGAATGCTGCTGGGCCGGCCGAGTGGCTCAGTTGGTTAAGAGCTCGCTCAAGAGTGTGAGCTCTGAGCAACAGCGGTTCTATTCCCGGCCTGAGCTGAGCTGACAACAGGTGGCGGGATGGCTCAGCTAAAAAAAAAAAAAAGAAAAAGAAAAGAATGCTGCTCTTACAAAGTCTTGACAATTTGAGTTTTAAGCATTTGAGCAATGGCTCGAAGAGTCAGATTACCTGACAAGATGGCCATTAAAACACCTTCCTATGATGGTTAACACTCAGGAATCAGGGACAGGTCTATACATTCAGAAGTTAAGTCCTTTTTTATCATAGGGACTTGTGGATGCAGGGAGCTGACAAAGGAGGCTATGAGGCAAAAGTGAGGTCAAGCATACTAAGGACCTAGAGCTGCCAAACCTCAGCCTTTTGCTAGCTAGTCCTTCATCAAATACAATTGTGACATAACTGGAATTTTCGATGAGAGTCTTACCATGTTCTGTTCCATTTTTCCATAAGTCACTATAATGTTTCACTATAAACCATATACACAGTCATAGAAAGAAATTGAAAAGGTCTGAAGACCATATAAATATCTAATTATACTCCAAATTCCTCCCCAAAATGCAAAACCAGGAATGCCTGTTTAAAAATCCTAAATAACATGATCAATAGGACATTATATTCATTTAACCCATTCAGGACAATAATAACAACTTCTCAAGATTCCATGCATGAGGATCCCGGAAAACAAAGTACCAATCACAATCTACATGAAATCCATGACTACACAATCTGTGATCAACAGTGTTCACTGGCTGGATGGGTGGTTATTTTGGTTGCTTTCTCAGGGCTTGGGTTGATAGGCAAAGACTATATTTTAGGAAATCATAAACCTCAAACTCATTTTTAACATTTGGCCAAGGCATCTTTTAGGCAATATTGACACTCAAGGAAAGTTCAACTGTTTACTATTCTTAATAAGGAAATCCAAGTGAATAGGAGATGCAAAGACAACTATTTTTGACTGGAAGTCAAGTCAAAGATCAAGGTGTTATGAGAAAGGCTATGGAGGACCCAGGACCAAACCATGGAGAGGAAATGGAAGAACACAAGTGAAAGGTGCTTTTGAAACCTCAATTCTTTACTTTGTTAACCTGCCATAAACTGGAATGTGATTAATTCCTAAAAAAAACCAAGATAAACACCAGGTATACGTCAATGCTTATTAACTGAATCATTTCTTCAAAGAGGCAAAACAGAACTATTATAGTTTCTCAGTAAGAAAACAGAATAATAGCATAAAGGCATGGGTTATAATTTCAGAAAAATAAGAGGTGTTACAGTAATATTAACACTACTGCTAGTGTTAATAATAATTGTTTATAAAACAAATAAGAGCAGTTAACATTACTTACTATGTGCCAGGCACTGTACTAAGCATTTTATATGCAGTCTCATTTAATCCTTGTAACAACCCTTTGAGGAGATGATATGGATGCTGAGTTTGAGTGCTGTGCCTAGGGTCACAACAACCCTATGAGATAGGTACTATTTTTATCCTCATTTACAGATGAGGAAATTGAGGCCATGGCTAAACAGGTTGCTCAGAGGCACAAAACTAAGAGTGTGGAACTGGGAGTCCATTGCAGGCAGCACATTTCTACAGGCCAATATAGCTCTCAACCACTCTCCAGGGATCTAGCGAGCCAGTGAAACACAAATTAAAACAAGATATCATTTGTTGTCCAAATTGGCCAAAATTAAAAAGACCAACATAGTCAATGGGCAAAATGAGTAGTCAACCCTGTTCCTAGGAGAATATAACAGCGATTTCTTTTTTGTAGCGAAAACTCTTTTTACAGGAACAGATACTCTAAAAGAAAGTCCAGAAAACAATTTATCCAACAAAGGTGGACAACAATCAGGTAGTTTCTTAATAAACTATTAATTTTATTTTTCCTGAAGGTAGTAGCAAAACCTATAATTCCTTTCCTCTTTTTCTCTTAATTCTCAGGTGCCAATAAAGGCTATCGGAGGATGAGCATTCCACTGCTTCCATGCTGACATTTTTTTATACAACTGCTTTCCTTGCGATTTAATTGGCCCAGATCAAACTTTTCCTGAAAGTCTGTTTCTTGACCCGCTAATATCATCACTGAATTAGTTAATTCATCTGCCCTTCTAGTGGGCTGACAGAGGTTCTGCTTTCTACTGTTTTTCCGTATTTGTCCCTTAGCTTCTTTCTCAATGGGTTCAAGAACCAAGGCTGAAGGTGAGAAGCTCAAATTTGCCCTTTCTGCTTTGTTCAAGAGGCATTAAAAAGACCCCTCCTTTTTTCCCACAATATGTTAATTCCAATCCCAAAAGAAACCTCTCAATTCTCCAGTCTCTGGTTTACTGTCTACAGCACACATGTTAAGTAACAATATAAATTACTTAGGGGGAAAATAAAATCCATGGCATAGCTTTTCTAACACTTCAGCCATCCCATTCTACTTACAGGCGTCATTATGAAGAGAAACTTGGAAAGGTACATGGAGCTGTAAAAGAGGCAGTTACCAAACATCACTACATAAAAGTCCTGCAAGTTTATCATGAATGGCAGTATACAAAGAGGATGAATGCCTTCCGATTTTTAAAACAAGAACAGCAGGTCAGGTTCCATGTGAAAAATTTCATTTGTACATCCAAAATGTCCTGTAACTTTTTTTGCATTTGCGTGCTAAAACTTACTAACAATTTGGTTTCTGATTGTGACAATTAAAACGTGCAGGGGTGAACTGGGCATTGTGAAAACACACAGGCAGCTCAAGAGAACAGCGCTTTACCAAACCTCCAGGGGAGGGGCCCTAACGCGGCGACTGCGTTTTCACTGAGAGAGGCATTTAAGAATGTTCCATATCGTATACATCGGATGCAAGAAGGGCTTAAGGGCAGCAGGAAAAGGCCACACTGGGATGGACAAGATTGCATTTTTTTTTCATCCACGTTATATGGTTACATATTAACACTCCGTTAAAACACGAAGCTTTCTCACTACAAGGAAGGAGAGGAGGCTGCACAAGCGGCACCACAACAGGCCTGGGGCAGTGATTTCTATCTCTATCCGACTAAATATCTTACCGTGTCCCCAACCGAATCAAATAACTGCTGGACAGCTCCACCATGTCTACACGTTAACCACACAAATGCGAGCGAGCAAAGATACCTTTGCCAAGAATCCCAGTGGGAAACCAAGGCACCTCAAGGCACCTCACGCACAAGTTCAGGGTCCTCATTTCACTGTGAAGAAAACTGAGAAGTTGAGGGAGAAGCAGCCACCGTCCGTCCGATGCCTCAAAAGGCCACGACAGAGTTAAGATGAGGAAGATCTGAGACTTCCCTCCCCACCACCCCTCCTCTGCTCCAGCCCTGAAAGGAGCCACAAGTGAGGAGAAGTTGTGGAAACAAGACGGGGTGGGGTGGGATGGGGGAACCCGACAGAGTTTACCACAAGCGTTTGCATTTGTCCCACACAAGGTCACTCGCTCCAAGTCCCTTTTCCCTGCTCCCGCCGGGGGCTTCCCGCCAAGGGGGTTGCTGGGCTTCGAGCCCAGCCCACCGCGCCCCCTCTGTCCTTCCCTGAGGGCCGCAGCCCCTTCCCGGGCTCAGGGTGCGGACCGGAGCTCGGACCCAAGCTGGCCTCCCCGACACCCGCTGCCGACGTCCGGCACCTCTCCCAGCCCAATTCCGGGGCTCCTCCGTTTACACCCCCAGGGCTCCAGCCAACATCCCCTTCCTCCCACAGGACGCCCCTTGCCCCGCCTCCAGCGCCGGGTCCCGTCGGGGGCCCCGGACTCCGTTCCTTTCCACCCTCCCGCCGCCTCCCTCTGGGTGCCCACCTGGCGCAGCCCCCGTCCCCAGCCAGTCTCCTCAGCAAGCGGCCGCCTCCCAAGTCCTCCCGGCCCCGCCCCGCTCCCGGGCGGATACAGTTTGAAGCCCCTCAGGATCTCCCTGGCACGCTCGTCCTTGGCTGACATGATGCGGCGGCCGCCGCCCGCGGCTCTCCCACGCTGGCCCGGCGGAGCCTCGCAGACGGTGGCCCGGAGCCGAGGACTGAGCCGCAGCCCGGCCTGGAGACCTCCGGCGAGCAGCGGCAGCGGCCAGACCCGGACCGGCCTCTCCCTCCCCTCAGCTCCCGCTCCAGATCCCTTCTCCTTCCCACTAGCCTCGGAGCGCCCGCCTCGAAGCCAATAGAAAGCCCGCCTCGGAGATTGGCATCCTGTTAAGCCAATAAAAACATTCAGCGGCTTTGCTGGGGGACGAAGAGCGTCAATGGGAAGGGCCTCCCCCAGGAAGTCCCGTAGGACAAAATTTTCATTCGGTGTTGTTGCCTAGAGTTTGCCCCAGCGGAGGGTTGGCTTCAGATATGCAGAGGCTCAAGGGGCCCGCTCCCGCCGCTGGGCACACTAGGGCTCTGGGATGACAGCCGGTTGCAATGTGCGATGTGGCAAAGACTACATTTCCCAGCATTCCATGGGCGCTCTCGGGAACCGCAGATCCCAGAGCGCAACAGAGTCTCGGGGACTACAAATCCCAGTATTCCCTGCATCCTAGTCCTTTAACTTGGACTCCAGTGTGCCGCGCAGTGTGCGCAAATTCATAAACCCTTCTTTAGGTTTGGTGGTTTCTGAATTTCGAGAGTTGAAAACAGGCGTGAAGACCCTCTTCACTCTCAAAGAAGATGACAGCATACAGAGAGGTAACTTCTGTTTACATGGAACTCAGAAATCTCCTGCAGATAATGGTAAGGCTGCAAACAACAAACAAAAACCCTGATTAAACCATGAAAGATAATATAACAAAATGACTCATTCAAATCATGCTTGTTTGTTGGTCTGGGGCTCCTTTTACGTGTTTTGCGGGGGTTTCCTGGTGTGCTGCGTTGGGCTGGGAGAGAAAGCGATTGCATACCCAGAATACCAATACAGGAAGGGATTTAAGAGAATTTGCTAATCCAACCTCTGTTGTTTTACATATTAGGAAACTGAGGCCCACAGAGGCGAAGAGATTGTTCACGGGTCACAGCAAGTTGGGGCAGAGTTAGAATTCAGCCCCAAATCTCCTGACTCGCAATCTGGGCTCTTTGCACAATAAGCTGGCGATATTTTTAGCAGCATGGTTATGTGATTATTATTCTCCTTGGTGAAATTTCCCTATCAGGTTGAAACACCCAGAGGTTAGGTAAGCATTCATTTGGTGGTTTCCTGCAAGTGTGATGTTTGTTTATCTTCAGCCTAGGTAAGACTTGATGTTTTGATTCCAGTGTTCTCTGTTGCTCAAGGTGACATTAAATGAGATTTCAGGAACTAGGTAAAATGTTGTGTAAGCTAAGGTTTCCTTGGAGATCTCCTATTTTCCTAGGCCTTCCTTCCTCTTCCTGTCCCCCTTTCACCCACCTGGGCACCCACCCAATTTTTCCTTCCATATAATTCAACAAACAGCTTTTCAGCTTTCCTTATTTGCTCCCTGTCAGTAAAAGGTGAAAGACATGGTCACTGCCACCAGGAAGATAACCAATCTAGTTAGGGAAATAAGGAGACTCCACTGAAATTCAAGATAGACTGTGATAAATGGCATAAAAGGAAGGACATCAGAATGCTACAGAAACTCTGATGGAGAGATTTATTCCACCTGGCAAAACTTAGAGAAGGTCGCATTTGAACTTGAAGGATGGGTGAGAATTTTTTTTTCTCTGTTAAAAATTTTTATCTTTAGATTTTATTTTGTTGTTAATGAGGTATAACATACACTAAGGGCACAGTTTTTGCATATATGTACACCTGTGTCACCACCCCCTAAGTCAAGATATGGAACATTTCCAGCACCCTTTGTGCCTCTGCCTAATCAGCACTGCATCCTTCTATCTCCATAACCACTTTTCTGACTTCTATTACCATAGAACAGTTTTGTTTGATATTGAATTTCATTTAATGTAACCATACAGTATATACAGTATGAGTCTGGCTTTTTTCATTCATCAATACTTTTGTGAGATTCATCCGTGTTGTATATAACAGTAGTTTTGTTTTTTTTAAATTGCTTAGAATTCCGTTGTGTGTATATAACACTATTTACCTGTTCTGTGATGGGCATTTAGGTTATCAGTTATCAGTTTTTGGCTATAATTAACAAAACTGCAATGAGCATTCTTATGTTTCTGTGGATTTGTGCACTCATTTCTAGGAGAGGAGTTGCTGGCTTGTATTGTGTTCGTATGATCAGCAATAGTAGATATTTCCAGTTTTCCAAGTGTCTTCCAATTTTCACCTTTCACCAGCAGTGTTCTAGTTGACACTTATCCTTGTCAATACCAGGTGTTGTCAGTCTTTTAATTGTAACCATTTTGGCTAAATGTGGCATCTCATTAGGGATAATTTTTATTTACATTGTCTTTGGTGTTGAGCTCCTTTGCATATGCTTATTGGCTATTTGAATGTCCTTTTGTGAAGTACTTGTTCAAGTCTTTTGTTTACTTTTCTTATTGGGCTGTTTGTTTTCTTAGTGATTTCTGGTTCTTTTAGATAATGGAGTGCTTTGTCTGATATATGCTTGCAAATATCTTTTCCAAGTCTGTGACTTGCCTTTTCACTCTCCTTACTGGTTGGTGTCTTTTGATACATAGAAATTCCTAATTCTAGTGAATAGTTAAGTGTTTTCTTTTATGATTAGTGCTTTTTGCGTAGAGTTTAATAAATCTGCATCTAGGGTTGGTAGGATTTTAACAGGGAAATATGAGAGAAGAGATTTGCAAAAAAGATAATGCAAGTTTGAGGCCCTGCTGTGAGTGAGGGAGGGTGTAAGTTGTGTTGGGCATGGAAAGTCCTGGAGTTTGGGCTGTGAAAAAGATGAGGCAAGACAAAGCTGGGAGGGTAGGCAGGAGGTATTCGAAGGGCTTCAGTTGCAGCCTTGGAGGCTGGACATTGTTCTGGAGGAAGTGGAGGCACTGCTGGAATATTTATAAACTCTAACAGAACTTAGTTGTCTTCTTTCCACCACCAAATTTGCTCCTCCTCTTCCGCAGCCCTGTTCACTTAACCCCACCTCCAGACAGCTCTGCCCTCCCCAGCCAGAATCCTGGGTGATATCCTCGTTTCCTTTCTCTGCTTTCAACTGCACCACGTCTGATAGCTTTTATGGTGTAAATGTCTCCAACAACTTCCCTTCCTTTACATGTCTATCTGCTACTGCCTTTGTTCAAGACCTCGCAATCTCTTATCTGGAATATATCAAGTCACCTGAAGTTTCCCTGCTCCAGTTTTCTCCACATCCAATCCATTCCTATAGCAGCTAGTATGAACATTCTAAAATGGCAATTATTCATACCTCTCCACAGCTTAAAAACCCTAAATAGCTCCTCAGTGTCCTTAAGATAAAATAAAAACTCTACATGGCTTACATCCTTTGTGATTTGCTTGCTCATTATTCCAGGCTCAACTCAAGCCCCATGTCCAGAGGCCTGCCTTAAATCACCTCTCCCCAGGGTACAGTCAGGAGAGCCTTATCTATACTATTGGGTTGTTGGAAAAGTCATGATGTATTTTTTTCTATGTTTTTCTTTTAAAGATTTTATTGGGGAATTGGTGGGGGGGGGACACAGTATTGGGGAATCTGGGAAGGGGAACAGACAAGTTGCTGACCTTTTGTTCTTCAGTCTAGTTGTGGAGGACATCGCTTCACTGGCCAATGTTGGTATTATCATTGCGCTTTTCCTGGGTGAGGTAGATCAGTCGCCCGCCACTGGACAGCCGCTCACAGTAGCTCTTGGCAGCTCACGCTGGCTGCCGGCTGCTCACGTGGGCTACCAGCCACTCACGTTAGCTTATGGCAGCCCACTGCAGCTTCACTGCAGCCTATGCCATCAGCGACGACTCACAGCAGCCCAGCTCCAGGTCAAGCTGTTGTTCACCATCTTAGCTGTAGAGGGCGCAGTGTCACTGGCCCTCATGTGGGATCCAAACCAGGGCCCTGCTGCTCAGAGTTGGTGTCCCAAGCCAACTTTTAACCAACGCACTACTCGGCCAGCCCTCTATATTTTTCGTTGCAAAAATGCGTCATGATTTTTCCGACAACCCAATATCTGTACCTAGGAGGTGCCTGTGGCAACTGTCTGTCATAGCCAGACAGGCCTGTCTCTCCCAGAGGGTTGTGAGCGCTCTTTGTAGTATCTTTGCTGTATTTAGGTATTTACAGGGTATAGTGCCAGCCCTGAGGTTTCTAAGAACCTGGATAACCTGACTCCAGCTCTGTATCCCTCATTTCTCACCCCTGAACACTGGGTTCCAGCCATTCTGGTTTTCTTCCCTGCATCGGTATATGCTGCACAGTGCAAGCCTGACTCTGGTCTCTACCCCCATTCTTCCCCTTTTTGCCTCAAAGATGCCTGTTTTTTCTTCCCTAGCAGTCTGCTTCCAAAGTGTTGTCTCATAGCACTGAACACATTGAAGCATTTTCAGGGCAAGAAGCTTGTCTTATCGTCATATAATCTTCTAGAACATAATATTGGGTTGTTGGAAAAGTCATGACACATTTTTGCAACGAAAAACATAGAAAAATACTTCATGACTTTCCCGACAACCCAATAGATGCTAAAGAAATTTTTTGAATAAACGAATGGGTTAGTGTTAGGCTCCTTTGCATCTGTCCTGATTTCTGCACTCTAAAGCACCAAAGGCTTTAAGACCTGAAAGTATTTGGTGTATACTGTATTTTAAAGGAATCAGCTTAAGTTCAGTTATGTAGCATTCCTTAGCCGTCTTCCAGGGGAGTTGGTAAGTCCCAAATGCAGTCACGAATGTCATTTTGATCACAGAGGCATTGTTGGCTTAACCCATCGCTTTCTTATTTTAAAACTTTTCTGAATAGAGGTCTAGAACATGGTCTTTGGCTTCAGACAGCCTGGATTCCAAATTAGACTTTGCCACTTAATTTTGGATTTTTAGGCTTAGTTAATTCACCCGAAAAATGGGAAAAATATTACAGGCCATAGAGTTATTATGAGAATTCAGTGACACAGTGTCCAGCACCTGGCGGGTGGGAAAACGCTCAATAAACAGTACTTATTAGGCATAACATGTCTTCATACCCCCGTGTAGCCACAGTCGCCACAGGAAGCTCCGGGGGTCTGGGGGTGGGGTGGGTAAAGCTTCGCCACAGGGGTGGACTTCGGGTCCAGAATGGTGATGGCGAT